CTAAGAGATTGTTTTCTAAACTACCATATGAATTAGCAAAAAGTGGTGTTGCTGAAGCTTTAAACTGTTTTAATAATAGTGTCATGTGTTGAAAATGTCTTTCAAACTTCATTTCTTTCATGCCCAGCTTTGTTGAAATATGTTCTTTCAGTATCTAGCATTGGATTTAAAAATGAGTCGTAGTAGCTGATAAACAATCCCGTTCAAAAGTTCGCGGCACCCAAAGACCTTGTGTGTTACCTTCATACGGGATATGAATTGGTATTATTGCAATTTTAAAAAAAATAATCGCCGTAATAAATACTTGCAGGTTTTGATGCTAATAGTTAAATTTTAGTACAGATACGCTTTACGCTTTTGGTAATATGCATAAAAATGCACATAGAACACTTCCATTAGCACAAATGCTAAATACAAAAATGCAGATAATTCCCAATTGGTTTCAAAAATCTATCCCAACATCTTTTACAAATACATTTAATTCTTCACCGGATTTTCTTAAAATGTCCATATTTTTCTCCCCTAATTTTTGAAGAGATTAAAACTTTCCAAAATCAATCTAATTTGTGCTCACTTCTACTTCTCCAAGTTCATGCAAGTTTCATGCGAATCTAACATTAAAAGGTGACTGTTTTGTATGTATATGTGAATAAGGTGTTAGTTAATTTAAATAAGTCGTGATTACATTCATTTGAAAATCGGTATTTGCACATTTATGTAAGAACGTGAAAGTGCGACGTCGAACATAAATTTCATTCATTCTCTAGCATTACTCACAGTTTTGTTTTCTCCATATTCACTTGAAATTCTTCAAGTTCAATAAGTTCCGAGCAAATACTGTTCGTATGTATTTGCAAATTAATTTTTTGAAATATGATAAGAATTCGACTCTAAATTGAAATCAAACTGCAGCACAATTTACTTGGTAATTCAATTGTTCACTTAAAAATGTCAAGATCAGTGTTGCTAACGTCGTGAAAGAAAATTATGGCGTATTAAGCAAAACATGCCTGGGTTCTGGTATTTAATCAACGCCACCTACATAGATCTATTTGGTGTTGGTTCCTGACATTATCACTAAGATTGCAGTGTCAAAACACGAAAAAACATGTTTTTGGAAAATTTCTTTAAATATTCTAGTGGGATCCGAAAACAGATTATCAGTTACCCATTGGGACACCGAGACTCATCGAATGACACCTCATACATCTCGGTTGGTGAACGGGAAGTGGTCTATACGTCAGTGACGGAATGGCAAAAACACAAATCCATCCGCACGTCTGCACGTGCCCACACTCAAGAGTTTTACTGAAATACTGTATAGTGTTAACAATCCTATGAGAATTAATTATATCTCTAAAACTTGCATTATTTAGTTTACTCCACATTACACAGTATTTCTCATTTTCGACTGCATTTTCTCTTTGCATGCTGTTCTTGTTCGAATGTTTATTTGAATAATATCGTTATTTTAAAATTTCTTCATTCAACCTGCTTCTTTTCAATTTTTCACGTTATTGGCATTTCACGTTTATCAACATTTAAAAAAACTCTTCGATGATTTAAAAAATATTGAACACAGAGGGTGCATTATCTGGTTGAATTACTTAACAGCTACATATTACAGTTCGTAGAAAAACAGTTCTTTTAGATATTAATCTTTCTCACATAAAATAATAGTAAAATATTATTTGTAATAATATTAATATGGAAAATATCCAAAATATTGAAAGATTCAACAATATTTCAAGTACATGTAATAACGTAAATAGGTTATTTGCGTCGAAAGTGATTTTAACTTTCCTAATTCTACTGTTTTTAAATTCACTTTATTTTCCTTGTTTAAGGCTAATCTTAAATTTCTTTGAGGACTTCTCAATGTACCATGGTTTATACCAAATAGTGAAATTCAATATGAACTTCAATACCTCTAATTATATGTTATCTGAATAATCTATCCTCAAACGTTTTCACTCTCTTTCCATCTTGTCCAAGTTCAGCACATTTTAAATTCGGCAAACATGCAAATGCCAAACAGAATCAAATCAAGCTTCTCGAAAGACATCTGCACTCCTTCTTAAAACAAAACTCAAATAAAAAATCCCTAGTCCTAAAGAATCTATGTTTACTACTCATTCCATAAATTTTAAACCAACATCAATAAAAGTAAACTAAAATTTAATATTCAGAACTTGCCGAGTAAAAATATTCGAAATTATTGTAGGAAGTTTCCAAAACATTAATGTAATTATGTTTCTCACATCTGTAAAACCTTGCGGCCTATCGGATAAAAATAAATTTTAAAAACTAATATTTTTGTGTATCTACATTTCTAGTAATTTAATGGAAATAACGATACAGAATCCGTTGAATGAACTATTTGTTTTGTACTTAATGGGAGACAATTCATTATTTACATTAATGTAACAATGCATTAATTTATTTACATGAAAGCCATTCGAATGTTTGTTACTGTACAGAAAGTCCTTTTCTCTTGGAACGTTTTCTAACTATTGTGGACATTTACTTTACAAGCATTATTATAATATAAATATATATTCATATTAAGGAATAATATTTTCTGGAATACGAATGTGAGGTCCATCTGAATACGGTCTACGAATGTGAGGTCCATCTGAATTTTGGATTCATCCCAACCCTAATAATGGTTTTTGGGGGGAGTCCAGTTACTCATTTCAGCCGCGCAGGTAGACAAAATAAACACCGCCCAAAGAGGATGAAATATAGTTGTTTATTTTGCCACTCGACAAGCGGATACGGGGAACGAGATAACGAACATGGTGGACGTTGAATAGCATAGTACACAAGAGTAGTGTAGTTTGCCTTTACTGCGGACGACATGTCGATAGAAGGGAAAGAGTATCAACACTGGAGAATGAAATTCTCGAGACTAAGATAAAAGAAGATAATTCCACTGTTCGTCAGATCTGGGAGGTAATTAACGAACTCAAGTTCAAAGGACATCTGACATACTGGGAAAAAATCAGTCTTGCACAAGTTGAAAATATCACGGAGTGGAGAAGTAGAGTAGAACGTTTAGAGGTACAAGAAAACGTAGTCACTTCTTCCTCAGTGAAATCACAAGGTTGACGAGATCGGAGCCTGGATGGAGGATGTGATTAGACTCGAATCCCCCCCCTGGTCATGAGTATTCACCATCTGTGGATGTGTCTCTTTGCGCGTATATTTGTGTGTGTGTATGCGTCGGCAAACGCAGCAGAAGAGCGTTCCGCGGAAGAGCCGAACGATGTTAGTGTCCCGTGTATTGTAGGAGGTACACTTCACTGGGATGTAGAGCGATGTAGTCGGGTTTAATAGGGGTTAATCATTAAGAAAGGAAAAAGCAAAAGAAATGACATTTTGTGTTCATTTCTTCTAGCCTGTCTGTATTATCGGTCCGAAGGATCGTTGGATTCTTAAAGCGTTCTAAACAGAGTGTATCACTATTAAGGTGTGGTAGGAAAGTGGGAAGAAGTTTTGCTGAAGATTTTCTCCCCCAATCAAAAGATGACGAAGCATCAACCGACCCAACTTGTATAAATTTCACAGAATATGTCATTAGTCAGTACCCACACCCTCAAGAGATTCGATATTGGCGAAGCATCAAAGACTTATATTTTTGCGGAAGTTACAAATTTCCCTTGCCCCCTTGGGGAACAAAATCCTTTTTCGCAACATAACTCCCAACACTCAAAGCCCCTTCAAGTGCTCCCGAATTTAACCCATTCACGTAAACTAACACATTTTTGCGGAAGCTTCAAATTCCTCCATCCCCCACCGGAAATCAAGTGCTGCCTCTAGCGTTCGGCCACGAGCCGCTTGGGGCTCTTCTCCCTCTCAGCATTTTTCCTGCCCTAAAGCCGGCAACAGAATAGGCCGAGAGATGTGTTGCGAGAGATGAGGAAAGAGGCCGGTGAGGCTGCGTCCACACACTAGAAGTATGTCATTCGATGACTCGAAATGCTTTAATGTGCCACAAGCCGAGAGTCTTGTCAGCATTTAGCTATGGGATCAGATTCAAATCCCATTTCTTGTTTTATTAAATGCTCTTTTGTAATTTTTACCCGAGAAATCCTTATTTTTTTACCATAATCGTATATTACCTATTTGAGTTCGAATTTCCTAAAGAGAAATACATTATTTCACCGCATATAAATCATTATTTAATGTAATGAAAGGAAATGCATGTGACGTGTAGGGAAGAAGTACAATCTATGTCTATGCAAATTTTCTTGAGCTACGATGTTTCTACCCCGCTTGTTTTACAATATTTGTTGGTTGAATTATGAATAAATGGTGAATGATAAAATAATTCATAATAAAATTCACAATTAATAAATTAATTTATAAATAAATGTGAATGAAGAAAAAAATACAATATTAATTCATTTCTTTCAAAATACCCAAACTAGGAGAGCGTAGGCATCCGCGGCCGGAGTGTGTATTTACTTGGCTGTCCGGGTGACGCCGCGTCCACGACGCAGGTGCACCTTCGCCATGGGCGCGGCGTTACCCGGACAGCCAAGTAAATACCCTTTCAAGCTTCTTGCATCAAATCATTATTTTTATATTGCTCATTATATACTGCTTTCATAAAATAAATATTTTCTACACTTTTTCCTACTTCATTTTCGTTTAAATAAAAAATACCAAGTAAGAAATTTTTAAAAAATGTTTGTTTATTTTTTACATGTATCTTTTACTTGTAAATATAATAACCTCACTCTTTTCTACGCTCTGTTTGGTGTTTTCCCGCCGCAGCGAACGCCTCAATGTCATATAACAAATGAAGGAATAGAAATGTGTCCGAAAAAACCCGCTCGCTGACCGACTCGGGCGAGCCACTCTTTCAAGTGTGTGTGGGTCGATAAGTGCCCCTTGTTTCGCGAGCCTAACGCAGCGCTCTGTTCGGCAGGCGGGCGCAGCAAGGTGTGCGCGAAGCTGTCCGCATGCTGCTGCGGAGGCGGCGCCAAGGACAGGGGCGGCGACAAGGGCGGCTGCTGCACGCGCCTCTCCCCGTGCTGCGCCTCGCCGCGCTGCTTCAAGATCTCGCCGTGCTTCGCGCGCCTGGCGTGCTGCCGCGCCAAGAAGCCCGCGCCGCCCGCGCCGGGCCCCGCGCCGCCCAAGGGCGACGCCGAGGGCGGCGACGCGACGGAGGGAGAGGTGCGCACGGCGCGGCGCATGCGCGTGGGCCTGCGAGCCGGGGTGTAGAGAGCGTATATGAGAGAGCGCGTGTGAGTATGTGAGTGTGTATGTTTGTGGGTGAGAGACTATTTAGGTGACAGAGAATATGGGCGAGATAGAGTATATGAAAGAGTGCATCAGAGAGTGATTGGGAGTGCACAAGAGAGAGTCTATGTTTGTGGGTGTAAGAGAGAGAGAGAAGGAGAGAGAGAGAGAGTCAAATTCCCGACAATTCATGAGGAATCTGGCAGTCAAAACAGGTTCGGAGCTGATATTCAAGTTTCCCATTCCATTTTCTCTCTCTTCGTTAATATATTTATTGATTTATTCATTAAAGCACATTGTAGTGCTTTAGTAGAAATAAATCGTATTGTAGCACACACTATTGCCTAAACACGTACACACAAACATTTGAAAATTATTGATGAAAAACAATTTTGTAAGAAAGAGCACGACATCGAAAACAACTCATGCAAGTTTTACATTTGCAGTGAATAATTTCTTTACAAACAAGAATTTACTCTACCAAGGTACCCCAAAACTGTACTTTCGTTACAATAACAAAATTGCCACCATTCGGACAAAAATCCAAAAATTATTTTCTCTGTACTGTGTATAATGCTCTATATTTACGTACATAAGTAAGTAAGTAAAAATTATCTTTTGCCATTTCCAAACTCCCGTTGGTTTTAATGAAAAAGGTGTCACCTTATTAAACAAATCTAGCTCATATCGAACAAGATAATTTTTTTAGAAACATTGGAGCTGTTTCGCTGGGAAAATCTGTTTTTTGCAACGGAGACTACATAAGTGATTTTTCTACATAAGAGTTTTTTCTGACGCCAAAACATCACTTTTTTCTGCAGCAATACTTACCTTTCTCTTACTACGTACGAGAAAGAAAACATAAATATATTATTTTAGTGTACAAGTAAAATAATACATTAACATGGGAAGATAAGAAATTCATTTGATATTGTTCAAGCGCGCAATGAAAAGTAAATTAGTGAAGAGCATTTTGAAGTGGACATTTTTGTGGACATTTTTCGCATTTGAAGTATCCAACTGCGATACACATTATATTAATTTTCTATACACAATGCTAATGATAAAGCGTAAATACGGAGAAATAATGAATCATGCTTCCAAAGACAACGTAAAATGTCAGTGCGATCATTATCTCTGTATTTTGCAACAACGTTCGCGACTATACTCATAGCAAAGTAATCAACTAGAATAACTGAGAGCCTTTTGAACAAAAACACATTCTAGCAATATCACAAACATTACACTGATTTCAGAGCACAGATTTCAGAGCAGAACATCACACAGATTTCAGAGTAATTAATATTCTACACTGCATATACTGAACATATTTAGTATAAATAAATTATGAACGCGATACTGAACATTTGTGGCAGAATTCCAGGAAAGTAATAAGTAAAGGACCTGTTTCATTTACATTCCAGCACTCAGATGCAATTATTCCCTCGATATTAACCCAACTATTCTTTCAAACGATTAATGAAACTAAGAATAATAGTGACTGCTAATACAAGATTTCCAAACTTTACTGTAATTTATTGAAACAATAATGCAATAATTTGCATGGTTTTTTATCATTCAAGTCTCAATATTTAAAATATTCGCTTTTATAATTAAACAACTTGATCCTTGGAATGTATTAAGAACGCATTTATCTATGTTAGTGAAGACATGCTTTAATTCATTGCTAAGAACATGCGATAGCTTTCCTACCTTTCAAATACCAACACTGATGAGTTTTTTTAATAAATCCATTTCATCCTTTCATACAATAAAGAATGTAATGAAGAATTAAAAATACTCTACGTTTTTGCAAGCATTCCACAATTTTTTGTACGACTATTCCACTTGTGAAAGTAAAACTTATAGTGTTTAATTATACACACAAAATGCCCCAATCAGGGCCGTGTTTCTCAAAACATTTACCCCTTTTTCTATTTGATTTGTGTTACCGCTTCACCATTCTGACCAATCATAAGCTGTGGCTCATCTATCTTAGGAGGTGGCATCGATCGCTATGTCGATGTCCAATAAACCGCGTATGTAGTATAACATAATCTCTTTGATTTTAACATAGCTTTGAGTTATTTTCAATATTTGCGCATTTTGGATCTTTGTTGGACACAATTTCATTCGAGGAATAGTCCTTTTAAATACAACTCGTACTATGAATTTATTAGATAAATCGTCTCTACGCTTCGCAAGTCCGGGATTTGTCGACAATTTCCAAAGCACTCTGATATTATCTATGATAATCTGAATCCGTTCATCCAAATTTCCCCAAACTGACAAACTCTCAAATTCCAACACACTCATGTAATTATTTCATCGGCATGGATAAATCCATTGAATTGATTTACAATGTAACGAAAAATTACGCATGCTCCGTATCAGCATTCTACAATTTATTGTGGGTCAGTTGCATTTCTTTTTTAACGCCTAAATACCAACACTTGAAATATAATTTCCTTGCCAGCCAACGCACCTCCCCTTTGAAACGGTTAAGAGTGCACTGAGCCAAGCCAGCGGCTTCGGTTGGTTGCGCAGGCGGCGGCGCCGGTGAGCCGGTGGCGGCGGCTGCTGCGCCGCCTCGACTGCCGGCGCGTGCTGCGCGCGTGCTGCGGCTGCTGCGACTGCGAGGGCTCCCTCAAGAACGCGCGCTGCACCTGCACCATGGACTGCCGCGCCTTCTTCTGCGGCCCGCTCGAGCGCTGCCGCGAGCGCTGCAGGCGCCGCCGGCAGCCCACCATCGCCTCCAAGAAGTCCACCTCCATGGAGGAGGTAGGCCCGCCCTCGACCGCGCACCCTCTCGCCAGGAGCTCCTGGGGTTCGAGTCCCGACGGTGGCGGATTTTCCACACTAGCTACACAGCTACGTGGAACTCAGCCGCAGTCTGGTGTAGAATTCTAGCGGGGCTGATCTGATCGGTTCTTTTCCGTGGTTTCTCTGATCAATACGAGTGAAATGCCGGAGCAGTACCCGAACAAATGGGCCATGATCGTGTACGAACTTTGCTTCCTCTACCTATCCACGCCCCTTAGTTATACACACACTTAAATTCACTACCCTACCACACATGTCCAGAGACCGGTCGGGAGGAGCTTAGAGCTTGTCCCGGCTGGGGCGATGTCCGCTGGGGAGATATCTGGAGAGAGTAATTCACTCGTAAACTCACGTATATGTCAATGCCGGATCTCACCATCCAGGAGAGAAAGAACACCATCAGAACCACCAATAAAAACATTCACTACATTAACTGGTCTAATGACGGAGCAGTTCATGTGCCCTAAAACATTCATCAATCAATCAAAGGGTGCGGAGACAGAGGTGCTTCTCAGAACGATCTCCATGCACTGGGTTACCAGAGCTTGGAGTAGACTCTGTACCACCTGGGCGTTGTTTATTTATCAATATGTGTTCCCCTTATTCTTTTTTCATTTTTCCCCTTCCCATTTTCTCCCCTCCCGACATTTTTATCACTATATTAAATCCCTTCCTATGGTATGAGTGAAGATCACTCAAGTGATTCCGAAATTCCTGCTTCTCTGTTCCCTTTGGAATTTCTAACTCTGCCTTCCAAGCTATTTCTTCCATGAGTTGCTATCTGTCCCTAATGATTAATGAAATCATTGAATTTCTCACCTTCTTTACCTGGTTAATAACGTGTCTACAAACCATTAACTAATTTTTAATTTGGTATTTCCTCTGCCTATACTTATGTGAATAGTATACTACAATAATAACCTTCAGTTTCTAAGCTCGTTCTCTTCTATTGGCTAAAATCACGTATATGGCTCATTTTTTCAGTCTTTCCTACTATAAAAACTCACCAATTCAGATTTTGTCTTTAAATTTCATGTGTTTTGAGTTCTAATCCTTCTTATACTGTTAACTAACTTCTATTCATTTTTCTTTCTTGTGTTTACTTGTATTTCTCAAAAGCTGAATCGTACTATATCTCGCTTTCTTTTCATATGCTTTACGATCGGTATTACCACTTTCGGCTAAAGTTCCTGTGAGAAGTATACAGAAGTTTGCGATCGAAAATCGTAATGAGACTGCTGGTCAAAGCATACGAGGTTTAAATGTAATTTAACCGGAGAATGAAGTCAGGGATAACACGTTAACTGCTGCTTAACTGGAAGATTAATTTCCAAAATAGTGGCTAGTCCAATGTAGTATGAGGAAACATTCTGAGAATTAAATTCTTGTGGTGAATTTCAACAAAACAAGATGACATAAAGTGAATGCAAACCGAACGATATAATTCTGAAGACTGGGAATACCATACAATCTCCGCAGGCAGATCTCTTTCTTCTCTTGTTTATTTCAATAAACAGCATTGCGTTTTAAATATGTTGTGCCATAGTGATCGATAAAACATGATTATTTATCATGGGTTTGAATAAAAGAGCAGATTATTTAGATTCCAACCATTATTGTGGTAAAGCATTTTTGAATTCCATTTCATTTGGAATTGTTTCAGTGTAGATTGTAACAAAAAAATCTCAATATATTTTACTGTCCCTAGTGATGTACTCTTATAGGAGAGGCATTTAATTGTATTCCTTTCCACAATTTATACGATCTCTAATTGAAATAGTTTGATAAAGAGAATGTTTACAAATATGCCAAGTAATTTACATCGTACGAAAAATTTAGGTCAATCTGCTTCAATCTACCAATGCTCTTGAGAACCGGAAAGTATTGCCAATTCCATAGTGAAGTAGTAGATAATTAAATGTCAGGCATCGGGGGGGGGGGTAACACGAGGCTTCTACATTAACCTGAAGGTAACTCAATCGCAAGTTTGTTAACGGGCGCTCTTAACAGAATGTGGTAATATAGGTCCATAGAGCTTTCGGCCTTTGCTCCTAATTGTTCTTCCAACCTCTCCTTCCTTTGACCTATATTTTGTTTCTTTCCTGGATTGCATTAAAAAAACAATACTTCCTTCACCCGAATTATCCCCTCGGCACACT